TAGAAGGGAGGGTCAGGGAAATTTTATCATCATGTAAATTACCTCACACAAGAAAGAACATCAGTTGAGAGCCCAGATCAAGTCTATGTTTCTCCTAACTATGCTGCCAGTTGTAGGTCAGGAAGGAGAGTGACTGGTTCAGTGTCACCCAGCAATTTAGAAACTTGGCTGAGACTAGAACACAGGTTGTTGATTTCCTGCTTTTTATTGTTCTCGGAACGGCAGTTCTCAAAAACTGATCTGTTTTAAAATTAAAAACTATTGCATTTTATTTGTTTATTTTGTGTATTTATGTGTGTGAGTGTGCATGTATCACACAGCATGCATGTGGAGATCAGAAAACAACTTATGGGAGCCAGTACTCTCCTATCTTGTGGGTCTTAGATATCAAACTCAGATTAGGGTTGGTGGCCTTTACCCTCTGAGTCATCTTGCTGGCCCTGAATTTGTTTAATTTGAGTCATAAATAATAAAACACACGGATTTTAATCACAGATCCTAGAGTTCTTTGGAAATATGTGTGGTGGACAGATTTACAGAAGTAAAAGGAAGTGTGGGGGGTGTTGATTGGGGTATGAGTGGAGAGGGTGGAGTGCAGGTTTCTTGGCTTACCTGTTCTGCAGTTCCAGGGCCACCCCAGATCAGCCTCTGCAGGCCTTGGGAAGGCATCTCCCTTATCAGAGGCACTGGCTGGTCAGAAGTAAAGACCCTGTGCTGGCAGGAAAATCTGCATTCCCTGAAACCTCCTCCACCTGTCTCTGGCTGGACCCAGAAAAGGATCAACACTGTGGTGTTAGAGCCAGAGAGCTGTGGATTCTGCCCGAGGCACAACACGGCGTGCTCTGTGACCTTAAGAAGTGCATGCAGTTTCTGTGTTTCCTTATCCTCGGCTGTGAAACAGGACTGTTTGTACAGTTCCCTTGGTTTTAACTGGGAGGATTTAATGGCGTTATAAAGCAGCTATGGTGTAGGGAGTGCCTGGCATCTGGCTTGGAGGAGACAGGGCCCAGTTCTGACACTCACTGGCTGCTGCATTTTAACCACTAAGCTTAGGTTCCTCAGCTCCAAAAGTCAGATTCTGCTTATTTCACATTTTCTGTTAAGGATTAAAAGCTTTGATTAGCACCTTAAGGGAACCCTTAGGCCATCAGGTGCTTTCCCCATGTCCAGCACAGTGAAGTCCTGTGGGAGTGGAAGATACGCAGTGGGATGCTCCAGGCTGGAGGGCCACTGGAAGACCAGGAAGGAGGATTCCGGAAGAGCCCATGGGCAGGGTTAGGCTAGAGGGACAGAAGATGGGGTTGTCTCTGGGCCCTAACACTGCAGAGGTGAAGCATTCATGAGGAGCTGTCAATCTAATGGGAGAGGCCTTGGGGGAGAAAGGAGTGACTGGGTGTGGGGGACACTGGTGCTAAGGGCTCATAGGTATAGGAGGAGGAGGCCTAGGGAGCTGGGCAGGTGCAGCTGGAGGCTTCTAAGTGAGGAGTACTGGTGTGGGAGGGAAGAGTCCTCTCCCCTCTCCTGGTGGGGTTTTCCCTATGCCTCCTGGGTTCTGGAGGCTGCTTCTCTGACATCAGCTCCTCTTAGTGTTCCTTGGGTGTCACCTGGGAAACCAGAAGAGGCCAAGAGGAAGAGAGAGGGTAGGGGATGCCTCAGGGACTATATGGCTTCAGCCCAGAGTTTTGTCCGGAATGCAGAAACTGCATGGTGAGTTGTGTTGCCATGGGAACATGCCTAACAAGTCCCTGAGGCTAAACTGACCTGGGCTGGCCCTAAACCAGACCAATCCCACTGTCCAAGTCAAGAGAGTTTTTTTCCCCCTAAGACCTGTGAATAGGTCACTGTGTGTGGATTTGGGGTTATCTTAGCCTGTAGAGATCAGGGAATCTGAAAGATAGGTGGGTTAATGGGTAATAGGTAGCAGGTCAGGTCTTCAACTGAGTCTCTCTCTCTCTCTCTCTCTCTCTCTTTCTCTCTCTCCTCTCCCTCTGTCTTTTTTTCCTCCCTCTCTCCTTCCCTCCTTTCCTTCCTCTCTTCCCTGAGCTGGGACTCAAACCCAAGGCATGCTAGGTAGCACTCTACCACTGGGCTACATCCCTAGCCCTGTCTGTCTTATTTTATCTCAAGGTAGACCAAGTTAAGTCAGCATTTGGGAATCCATTCTGCATGTATTAAAGTGCATCGTGGTGTTTTTCTAATGCTGTAGGTATGCAGTTAGCAAGATAGTCAAGGTCCTTGTCACTTAAAGTGTTCCATTACACTGGGCAGAGATCCCTCAAGTCCACCAGAATCCCTGAGGGAGGAGAAGCAATTTGGATGCTCAGCATATAGATGTAATCTATATTGCTTTGAATTTGGGATCATTTCTTCTGAGTTATCGGCAAGTATTATTATTATTATTATTTATCATTATTTTTTTTAGACAGAGTCTCCCTATAGTCCCAGCTGGCCCGGAACTTGCCATGTAGACCAGGCTGTCCTTGATCTCATAGAGATCCACCTGCCTCCACCTCCTTGGTGCTGGGATTAAAGGCTTGCACCACCACACTGGGCTATGATCAAACTGACTTGTTTTTAAATTTTAATTAAAAATTTACATTTGGGGGCTTAAGAGATGACTCAGCGATTTAGAATACTGGTTGCTTTTATAGAGGACCCAGGTTTGGTTCCCAGCACCCACATAGTGGCTAACAACCTAACAACTGTCCATAACTCCAGTTCTAGGGGATCTGACACTCTCTTACCTCCTCAGGAACTGCATACATATGGTATACTTACATACATGCAGGCAAGACACTCTACCCATAAAATAAAAATAAATAAATACATTTTAAAAATGACACTTGTGAATGTGTGTGCACACACGTGTGTGTCATGGTGTGCTTATGGAGGTCAGAGGACAACTTGCTAGACTCGGTTCTCTCCTTCCACCAAGTGGGGCCCAGGGATTCAGCTCAAGTCATTAGGCTTGGTGGGAGGCACCTTTACCCACTAAGCCATCTTGCCAGCCCTCCTATTGTTTCTTTCAATGGACATAATTGGACAATGAGCCTATAAAATGGCAATACTGAAGAGAGCACATTTAACTTTTGGAATCACCTGACTTGGGCACAAGTTCTTGACAGGAGAACTTTGAACTTTAGTTCTTTTTTTTTTTTTTTGCAAAATGGGAATGTTACTTTCCTAACTAGCTATTTTACAGTTATAAATAATGCATGTAAGAGATATGGCACTTTGACACTGAGGAGGAACGAAATAATTGAAAGCGATCATCACTACTCTCCTTTCCCACTGCAGGGGACTGGGACCCAACTTGAGGGTTCGGAGAAGGAATGGGCCAGCAGGCAGAACACCATTTGCATAACTTGCTCCCTAGGAACAGGATTTGCAAACATCTGTTTTGCATGGAGGCAGATTTTTTTGCCTGTCACCTCTTTATCATACCCCTTAGAATCCTCCTTATGGTCCCAGTTGCCACCTCCTTTTAGTAACCGTCGATCCACCTCTTGTTGCCCAGCACGTGCTGCAAAGGACAGCAAGATGGGACGGACCACGTTTGAGACACTGGTCTGTCCTGCCAGGAGACTGTTGCAGGCAGAGGTGGCTAATGTGGATTGTCAGCCATTGTTCAGTCAATGTTCTTATCTGTCCTCTGAAGGATATGTTATGTCTGTTTCTGTCTGACGAAAAGGAATCTCGAAGAGGCTAAGTAACTCATACAGGAAATGACCCTGAAATTTTTCCGATTGTACCCACTGTCCTTGGGGGTTTTGGTCCCACATGTCTGCAGAGCAGTAGAACATGTGAGGACAGGCAAGGACAGTCCCTCAGTAGGAGTCTGGCAGGTTCCTCTTCTGGTTCTAGCCCTTCACAGCTGTGCGAGTGTGGGAACGTTTCCATTTCCACCTGGTGGGTGGAATGTGCATTGTGTCTTAGATGTCCCCTTGTGTCCCCTCATTTGTTCAGATCAGTCCTAAAAATTAGGAAAGAGCTAAGGGGTTGAGGATGTAGCTCAATGGTAGAACCGTAGGCTCAGTTTGCCCTGAGTCCTGGGATTGATGCCTGGCACTACCCACAAAAAGTACTAAGCACTGTTTTCCAGTGTGGTGTGATCACAACAGGAGAGAAAATGGGCCATCTTCCCCGTCCCCTGTGAACTACAGAATAAACTCTGGCCTTTGAAACACTATCCTCACCACTCAGCCCCTTCACTCTTCTCTAGTCTTTGTGTCCAATGGCTTTTTACATTTCCAGGTCTTTCCATCTGGACTTTTCTTCCTCTAATTTGTTTCTTTGTTCATTTCTTTTGTTTTTGTTGGGTAGTTTGTTTTTGTGGTGCCAGAGATTGAACCTAGGACTTTACGATGAAAGATAGTTGTTCTACCGCTGAACTTTAGCTCTGGCCTTTACACCTTATTTTTCTAAACCAGGCATAGTGGCACATACCTATAATCACAGCACTTGGTAGAAGAGGCTGAGGCAGGAGGATTGCCATGAGTTTGAGACTGGCACGGACAATATAGTGAGTTCCAAACCAGTCTGGGTTACAGGGACCATTTCAACCAACCAACCAACCAACCAACCAACCAACCAACCAACCAACGAACCAACCAGCCAGCCAGCCAGCCAGCCAGCCAGCCAGCCAGCCAGCCAGGCAGCCAACCCTCACCCTTGCGTTTCTAAGTTCAGCTTGTTCAAGGGCTCTCCTTTTCCCCCCTCGTTCTACAGCACATGTTAATTCTTTATCTGAAATGAGTATTTTGTTGGTAAAGCACAGAAGGTTGGCTAACTGTGTACACTAATATCTTCACGTCCCTGTAACTCTCTGAGCTTCCACGCCTTTATTTGTGTACATTTGGGTTAGTGTCTGTACTGGACATCTGTTGTTTTTGCCTGTCCAGCATCTCTCCCCCTCCTTTGGTGAATCACCTCTTCCCCCTTTCCTTGGACTTTGGATAAGGCTAACCGTACCTCCCCAGGGGCTCAGGACAGGATCCATCTAAAATGACAGCATTTTATTATTCTCTTGGCTCCAGACTTGGTTCAGTGATAGGCATGTGACCTGCCAGCCCAAGGAGAGTTGTCCTTGAAACTTCAGCTGGAAGCACCTGGAAAGATGCAGTCCCTTGATGGCCATCCTTATAACAGCATGGAGATGGCTTGCTGGTAAGAAAGCCAACAGGGAGGAAAGCAGGGAGCCCCTCCAGCTAGGGCACAAGCTAGAGTTTCCCAATTGTGAGAGAAAATAAACGACCTTTTATGCTGAAACTGATTGACTGGGTGTCAGTCACTTGCAATCAAGAACCCAGAACCATAGTGTGCATCTGTCTGTTGGACATATGTGTTGCATGCCACCATGCATGTGTGCACATGTGATGGGTGTAGGAAAACAGCATGTGTGAGTCTGCGATGATGGGTGAGGGGAGGGGTAGTATAAGCACTCATGCTCACATACTTCATGGGAATGTGAGGACTTGAGGTGGGAGGGCTCTTTGGAGGAGTATGTGTGGGAACAACATGTGTAAGAGGGGACAGGAATGTGTGTGTGTGTGCGTGCGTGCGTGCGTGTGTGCACGCCTGTCCGCGTGCATGCTGTGTGCATGTGATGAGGACAAAGGGATATGAGATGAAAGCTGAGGGTGTATGGCACGGGGTGGGGAGCTGAGGAGTTACTTTTCCAGGCAAAGAACCTGAGGTCCTGTCCAGCTTTGCATTCATACGTATATGTACCTCCCAAATCACCTACTCCAAACCCACCTACCTGGCCTGGTTGGCAGGATGGCTCAGTAGGTAAGATGGTTGCCACACAAGCCTGATCATCTGAGTTCCAACCCCAGCTCCCTGGCATCTACATAAAGATGGAAGAAGAGAACCAACTCCACAAGTTGTTCTCTGACCACCACATACACTGTGGCACACCCACACACATCACCCCCACCACACCACCAATAATAATAATACATATAATAATTTGAAAATCCAGGGGCTGGAGAGATGGCTCAATGGTTAAGAACACTGGTTCTTCTTGCAGAAGACTCAGGTTCAAAATCCAGCACCCACATGGCGGCTAACAACTGTCCGTAACTCAAGTCCCAGGGGATCCAACAGCCTCTTCGGACCTCCTTGGGTGTTGCACTACATGGGTGCACATACTTACATGCAGGCAATACATGCATACACATAAAATCAAAAAAAAATCCACCTGCCTATCCTCATCAGCCCCACCCAACTGAAAATCCTCCTCTTCGCTTTCAGATGACCGGGACCAAATTCCTTAGATCTCTGAATGATATACAGACTCATAAAACTTTTGTTGGTGTTGAAGCTGCAATGATCAGAGGTAGTTTAGATCCACCTCTGACTATCAGAGGAGGAAAATGACAGGTGGGACTTGCTGGGGCACAGCCAAATTTCCCCAGATCAGAACAAGAGCATTTCTTCCTTCAGAGATGGGCAAGGCTGACCTTGGGGGCACTCCCTTTTGAGGAGACTCCCTCAGCCAGTCCTCTCCAGGGCTTTTATAGCAGGCGATTTACTGAGGCTTCTGTGAAACCTGGGTATTTACTGCCTCTGGTTCTGGTGAAGGGAGGCTGGGGAGTCTTGATCCTTACCCTTGTTTCCAAGCAGCAGAGGCTTACGGCTTTTCTTTGCTCCCTGACCCTTTTTGTCCCTTGCTTTATGCCTCACTACATAAAACCAGAGCAATTTCCCTAAGCCAGAGCCTCCCTGCCATGATGCCTGATGACATGACCTTGCAGAGTGGGCTCATAGACACCGTGGCCATCAGCACTCTGTGCATCCACAGTCCCTGTCCTAACCTCCTCTGGTCTCAAGACCCTTCTCTTCCCCATTCTGTCCTCCACAAATGTCCATTTTATATATGACATGACTATGGGAAGTTTGATGGTGGCTTCATCCATAGTGTGCTAAGACATGGAAGTTAGAACACCTCCCATAAGTCTCTTGAGTGCACTGGGATTTCCTCCTTTGTGTCAGCTATGGAGGGTCACTGATCCTGTGGATGGCAGGGGGCGGGGGTGGAGTGGGGTGACACACAGGACAGGTCTCTTCTCTTCACCCAGGGTTGGGGTGCTGACCCAAGCTCTCCCAAGGAGAGCTTCTCTCCCTCTCACTTTCCTCTCTCCTCTCCTGCTTTCTTGTCTTTTTTTCTTTTGGTCTTTTTTTGAGACAGGGTCTCCTTGTAGCCCCAGCTGTCCTGGAACTCACTGTGTAGACCAGGCTGGCCTTGAACTCACAGAGATCCGCCTACCTCTGTCTCCTGAGCGCTGGGATTAAAGGTGTGCACCTGTCAATACTTTACTTTTTAAAATTGAATTTGTGGAATTTTCTTTTTTTAAAAAAAATTTTATTTATTAGTTTTATTTTATGTGTATGCCTGTATTGCCTGCATGTAGGTAAGTGCACCCATGTTGTGCGATGCCCATGGAGGTCAGAAGAGGCTGTCGGATCCCCTGGGACTGGAGTTATGGACAGTTGTTAGCTGCCATGTGGGTGCTGGGTTTCGAACCCAAGGTTTCTGCTAGAACAACCAGTGTTCTTAACCGCTGAGCCATCTCTCCAGCCCCCGGATTTGTGCAATTTTCATACACTATAATTTGATGGTATTTAAATCCCCCTCATCTGTACCTCCTTGTATTGCCCTCTTGCCCAATTTAATGTACTCTATTATACATAGTAAGGCTTATAGAGTCTGGTTTGTGTTCCCAAATGTCCTTCAATGTGGGCTCACTGATTGGAGCCTGCTTAACCTATCAACCTCCAGATTGTCTCTGCCCCTCCTGGCAGCCATCTGTTGCCACAATTTCCTTTGGTGGAGCTGGAGCTTCTTACCCCCTTCCTCATGTCTATGCTGCAAGGTCCTCTTTTTTTTTTTTCTTTTTTTTAATTTTACGTGTTTGAGTGTATTACCTTCCTGTGTGTAAGTGCATCTGTGCCATGCAATGCACACAGGTTAGAAGGTGTGTGTAAGTGCATCTGTGCCATGCAATGCACACAGGTTAGAAGGTGTAGGATTCCCTTTCCCTTGGAACTGTAGTTACAGACGGTTGTTAACCACCATGTAGGTGCTTGGAAATCAAACCTGGGTCCTCTGCAAGAGCAGTACTCTTAACTGCTGAGTTATCTCTCCAGCCCCTGCCCCTATTTCTTTGAGATAGAGTTTCATGTAGCTCAGGCTATATCCTATGTAGCTGAGGATGGCCTTGAACTCTTGCTTCCACCTTCCAAGTGTTAGGATTATAGGTATGAGCTACCACATGCCACTTGTTCTAATTATTCTTTCCTTCCTTCCTTCCTTCCTTCCTTCCTTCCTTCCTTCCTTCCTCCCTCCCTCCCTCCC